GAATGCTTTCCCATTCCTCGAGGTGATTCACAATAGTAATCAAGAGAAGCATCAAAACATCCTCCTGAGGTTCAAGTCTTTTTGAACTGTACTGCATTTACATGTCTGCCTAACAAAGACAACTAAGGTTTGTTTTATTGTATTTATTGTCTATCACTAATACACTCTCTTTGCACTCTCTATTTGTTAAAAGCTTTCAGCAGCCCAACTAAGTATGACCCAACCCAGCATACGTGGCCCCTGAAATCTGGTATTGGATTTTTATTACACAGAAGAAAAAAAGGGTAGGGTGGGTTTGATGGATGGATACTTGGAGATAACGAGGGGTGGAAAGCACTCGGGAAAGAGGATAAAGACAATTTTAGGCAGTGGGGGAAATGCGACCTGGGAAGAAGGAAGAGAAGTATGTGCTTGTAGTCAGGTGTGATCAGATAGCAGCTGCTCGGCGTAAAGATTCCGGCCCATAGTGAAGCCAATGAACCCGAGAGCCTTAATTTATGTCTCCATTCCCCTCAAGCTAGCACTATAATACTGATGTAACATTAGCACCTCGCCAAGGGCATCATAATCAAACCAGCTCTGATAGGAGGGGGGGAAGCAAAGAGGTGCAGAGAAGACAAGAAACAGCAACAGAGAAATCTTTCTGTCATTTCCTGGCTTTGTCCTAAGATAGACCATCACTCCTTACATGGCCCTGTTCTTTTTCAATTACGCTGCGCTTCTACGTCTGTGCACAACCCAAACAGAGTCTGCTCATGGTCAAAGTCTGTCATTATTTCCTCCCCACCTCCTCTTCACTTCTCTGCTCTCTGTCTTCACTCCTGTCATTACCTTGTTTGTGCCTCCGCTCCTCGGTTCAGACTGTCAGTGTTTGCCTCCTTGATTTCCAATTCCGCCTCTCGTTACCCAGCCGGCTGTTAGTGCACTCCTTAACTCAAAGCTGTGGTAAAAAAGCGGCTAAGAATCTCACCCCAGGATCTCTCATCCTGTCTTTTTTTTCTTTTGTAACCCACCGCTGCTTGTTTTTCCTTCTTATTTTCCATCTCCTTCTTTTTATTTGTGGTTTTATCCATGGTCAGCTGGCATTTATTGTACCATTCCCAATCTTACCTAACCTGTTATCTTCTCACAAACGATACCTGTACATGCATGCTACACTCTAATAGTGGAAGTCTTGCAAAAAATCCATTTAAGAAAAAAAAAGAAAGAAAAAAAAAGACAGCTTGAGTTTCATGTTAAACCATCCAGTCACTGCATTACAGGAAGGAAATAAGACTGTGGACTGAATCAGTGCCGGATATTTGATGCATGCAAGTGGCGAAATGATAAGTCTGATCATAGATTACTGAGGTGTAACGCAGAGGTCAGTGATATTACACTGTTCTGCAAAATACTGTCTTTGTTATCTGGGCTGTATCATTTTAATTCCTCTCATATGACACTATGAGAACTGGGAATATGCTTATGCCTCTAATATTCTTTAGCACGCCTCTTAAGAATCATTGGGTTTATCATGCATGTTTGACCAAGGTATATTATTTTTTTGTTATCTGTCTGATGTCACACACACAAATCTTGAAATCCGCAATCATTCCGGCAATTTCTGGTGGCTTACTGCAGCTAGAGCCCGCTACTACAGTGTGAGAAAGTTACTGTATAAAATTGGTTTTCAGCAGATCTGCTCTCCAAAGTGCAGTGCATACAAGATTTAACCTACTACCTATATCTTTACATTCACACTTTTTTTGAATTTCTTTTGGTCACCCACTTCTGTTTCCTCCTCTGTGTTTCCTCTCATTTGGTTGCCCTAGCTGGAAACTATCACACTAGGCCAGTGAGCAAAAGTAGGTTAGTGGCCTTGATTTTCACTTTAGCAATATTCCATATCTGAGCATGGAAATCAAAGTTCACGCCAATAAATCTCAAACAGTGTCCTGCTTTTGAGCAGCAGGGCAGGCCAAGTAGGTCTCGGACATCGCTGTCTGCAGTTATTACAAAAAAGACCTGTTTTGTCCCCTCCCGTGGAAGTGCCACAGCTATCTAGAATACTTCCCGACACCTGAGATCAACATCACTAATGTGCTCGCATGAGTGTTTCACAGGTTTGTGACAGCTAGAAGCTCAGAGTCCAAGCTTGCTGCATGCAGGCTGTCCTAGTTTAAGCGGCAACACAAGTACTGCAACTGGGTTCTAGGAGTTGATTGTATAAAGCATACCAAATAATGCATCACAAATGAGTTCATGGATATAATGCTAATTCTTAAAGCTGACATTGGTTTATAAAGCGAGGAAAACGTTTGCAGGATTGTATAACATAATCCACATGAGCATACAATCACATGAAGAGACATTTTGCTGTAGTTTGCAACCTGTCACCACATACACGTTGAGCTTTAGACTCTGAGAAAACACACCTGGTGCTGGCAGGGAAAATGCAAGGAATATGTGGGGGAAAAAATCATTATGTTCTTGGAAATATCTTTAAAGTTATATTCTATTATAAGCAAGGAGAGAAAACAGACTGTAATCTTACCACTGTTTTAAATTTCATATACACCTAGGGTGCATAATGACAGCTGGTAGACATGGCCCAATGTACTGTAACTGAAATAAAGTGCAATAAAAATAACTTGCAACTGGAAGATGATCAGCTGTGCTTATTTACTAAAGTTCATTTGCACGTTTAGCACTTTGTTTGCTCTAATGCAGTAAAAACAAGTAGCAGACAGTCTGGTTGGATTAGTTTAAAAAGAAAAAAAGTAGGAGGTTCCAATGCACAGCAGAAGAGGAATAAAAATTTGCATTATAAAATATTTATGGATACAAGAGTTCCTGAAAAATGAATTACTATGGAGCTATGAGGGCAAATTTATTGAGCCTGTGTAAACCAAACCTGGCCAGAAGTTTCTGTTTACTGAGCGTGATGTGAAATATTAGCGACAGTAAAGTAATGTGTTAATATTTAATACTTCATTAACACACTTGGATGGTGGCAAAATAAATACAATAATAATATATGGTATAAACTATACGAGCTGCCTACTGTTGCCGAATTATAGGCACGAGGGAGGGACGCACAAAGTACAGAAGTAATGCAAAGACAGTTAATAATTACAAGCTAGAGGTATATCATTAACGAGCTACTTTCGTAAAAGGGTGCGAGCAGGTCAGCATCTACCTGTGTTGCTTGACATTGGCCATTAGAAATTCCATTATTAAACATTACAACAGTGAGATGCTTGAAAGGCAGATGTGTCTCTTTCAGGAAATGGATAAAATGCTTGTAGTCCTCTCCGCGACTGGGTTGTTGTAATGATTCTCACTGCGTCACCTTAAATTTCCCAGCGTTTCCCAGTTAGCAGGAATACTTAATGCAATGAGATTCATCTTCAGGGGACCATGAACAACTGCTCTGCACTTAAGTGTAACACAGTCTATCCAATACAATCCATCCAATATTTGTTAGGACATTTCTGACTGTGAAACCGGCCAATCAATGGCCCACTGACACTTTCATTGTTTAAGAGACCCCGCAAGTGTAGCTACTGACCGAAGATGCACACCTTTGCTTTAAATGTATAAATCTTGAGATTTGAAAATATGAGACACTCTCCCAGGTTAGCAACTAATCCAGTTTTTGAGTGAACACCTACTCGACTGCACATGTTTGGCTAGGTATGTTTTCTCTGTAGAGTTTGAATAATCGTCATAATAAGAGGTGGATCATTGACGGCCTGTTACATTTTTGGAGCAGATTCTTTAAAATTGCAAGATAGTGCATTGACTAAGAATGAAGAGCGCTTTCTCGGAGTGAGTGCCCTTCCAGTTTTGATTAAGCCCTCAGCCAGCAGCCAGGGTTTGAAAAGTTTTTGTCTCCTCCGCCTCAAGAGCTCACATGATTCATTTTCACCTCCTCTATGTCACCTCTAGCCCTGACTTGACTATGAGAGGTCTGTTCTTAGAGCCTCTTAACTGCGAGGTGTGCTATGTGTTTTGCAATAGTTATTATTATGGTCAGGATTTAAATGTAACATGTCATTGCCATAATCTGTTACTGTAAATGCAGGGAACTGTGGTGAACTGACAGCTGACCATTTTCGGTCTAAAGAAATGGCTCCCCAGGTTATGATTTTATAACCACATGAAGGTGAGGGTGTGCATGCGTAGGCAAGTGTGCGTAAATGTGTGCACACACGTGTAGAAATATGATGGCTTGAGCAAGATGCAAGCAGTTCTTCTCTGTATTTGTTTGAATTCACAAGCATCTGTTCACATGACACACCGTGTTATTCTTATCGTGTTATCTGGTCCCTTCCTTTTTACCGCTGTGATAAATATCCATCCATTACTGCATGTCTCATATTTGGAGACCATAGTGTATCTTAATGGTTCTATTACTGTATTTACTGTAGTCGCTGGCAACTGTTCGCCCACATGCTACAGTATCTGCATTGTCTCACCCACTCACAAAGGGTTTAGGTGCTGGTGGGAAGGTGGAGAGCCTACACTTTTGAGTAGATAACAATAAAGCTGCTTAAACACAGACACACAGGCACACACACACACACACACACACAGTTCAACCCCATGAGGTTTCACTTTGATTTCCCTTTTTTTCAGGAATAAACTCCTGACACAACTTCCTATACATATTTACATTACAGGGAGGCTGGCTATTTCCGGTACCTATGCGCAGCACAGACCTGACATGTATAGCCTGTTGTGACACACTGTGGTTTACAAAATGAATGGCAATAAGAAAATAGCACAGACTCGAGGGCACGATACGGTCCACAAGTGTCACCCTCCACCCTATAGCAATTAACTGCGCTAATACCGGCAAGGTTCTTGAATGAGGTGGTCCGTGGATGGCAGCTTCTCCACCACTATCTACAGCTATGGATCCACATACCTAATAATCGCCTGTAAAATAGCTCTATATATGGAAAGGAAAGAAAAAAATATGTATGATCGCCTTTCCACCCCCCTCGCCGTCTCACCTGCTCGTTCCTTGCAAGCTCCTTCTCCAGTTGTCGGTGTTTGTTGTGCCACACCAGATAGTGGATAGGATAACGACTCTTCTCCGGAGTTTTCTTAGCAGAAATCATCCTCGGATCATAGTTTGCCTCCTCCTCCTCTTTCTTCACTGTGGATCGCAAGAATACTTTGTCACAGATTTACGCTATACAATTAATCCTATCATCCTGCATCGGCGGTGATGCCCAAAGGCGTGTAGGGGCAACCTTACGCGTCAGAAACAGTGAATGGCTCCCTGCTCGCTCTGCTTAGAATAAACGCCAAAGCCCCATGAAATCATTTAGAAATAAAGATAAGGGGGGAAAAAGCCCTCCCTTGATTGTGTCAGTAGATTGGGTTACACCTTTATTCCTTATCTACCCGTTCCTCCTCCTCTCGCTTTCTCTTCCTCGCTCTCTTTCTCCCCTGCCTACTCTAACGCGTCTATCCTCCTCTCCTCCCATCCGGTGGTGACTGAGAAAGATGCATTGACAAGCTGCAATGAAATGGGCGCATACTCAGCCAATCCGCTGTCAGGGCTCTGATAAAACACATGCCTTGTGAAAAAGAAAAAGAAATCGAAATGGAAATGATGCGTTTAAAGTGAACCAGGCCCACATAGCATAGGAGTGTTATAAAGGAGGTGTGGGCGTACTGTGGAGAAGGCTGGGGAGCGCACGACATGACAGCAAAAGACAAAATTGATCAAAGTTGAAATGAAAGCCTACCTTCTTGATTTTTTTCAATTCCTCTACTCTTATTCTGCGTTATTCACACCAGATTTTCCTGTCGACACGACAGAAAAATGAAACAGATAAATCCAATAAATCAATAGCACTTTAATGTTTCATTTGACTGCTAAAGCTGCTCAGCCATTGAAGGTTGGGTGATCGCGATACTTTTGCTTAAATGGAGCAATGTGTGTCTTATATCCAAAATCTGATAAACATCTAGTAACTTTTCTGTCAGCATGAATTTTAGATTGTTGTGTGTGTGTGTGTGTGTGTGCGTGCGTGTGTGTGTGTGTGTGAGAGAGAGAGAGAGAGAGAGTGAGCGCGTGTGAGTGAGCGCGAGCGCGGATACTGTCAGGTAAAGAGCTGCCGTCTCTCGGTGAGTTGCAGGCAATGCAGGGAACAGATGTACTGTAGCAATATTCCGAGATGAGATCCTTTATACAAACAGATTAACTATGTTCACATAACTTGGATCCAGCCTCGGAGTTCATCAGCGAACGTGAGCGAACAGACCGCTGGAATTAACGGGAAGCTCAGTCGTCGTCAGCTGGCCGGGGGAAAAGCCGATCATACCACCCGGCTTCCGGGGATTCAGGGGCCGCATCGGTTGACGGCAGACGTCGGTCTGTAGCTCGGGGGGGAAGACGGGCGAATATTCACATCATCGCCGACATCCACTTCTCCGTTTCATCCACTTTCGAGATGTCGAGAAAGCTACAAAGAACAGAAGTCTGCGCTGACTGCAGTGCGCCAGGTAAGGAACAGAAAAAAAGGAAAACAGACCATGGGACTGGAACAATGCGTCGATGGGGGCGACGTGGTGGGAGAACAAGGCCGAAGTTGCTGTCATTGTCAGAGGGTCTGCAGAGCAGGAAAACGGCCAGGGCTCCAAAGCGTCGTTTAGGCCCAAAATAAACACTGGAAAAAATAGGCGTGTTGCCACAACGGGAGAATATCTCTAGCTAACAGCTGCTCAACGTTAATGTAAGCCATTGAATAACTTGATAGGTATATTTATTTGACCACGGCCATATGTAAGAACGAGTAGTTTATTTGGGGCAGTTTAAGATCCCAGTGTCAGCTTTATGCTGCCTTCCCACTCGAAGAGACGTTTGTTTTGATTTTCGTGACCGGGACAGACTTCCGAACACGTTAGCTTAGCTTGGCTAGCGAGCTGGCGATTTTGAGTCACTATGCAGCTGTGTGATAGAAGAATTTATGGTAGAGTGAATGTCCTGAGATATAATAATACATTTATATCGATGGACAGCTATCATATTGTTAGCACTTGCCCGTGGCTTTTGGAGTTCGTGCTTTTTATACTGCTAGCTTAGCTATGACGTTAGCTACTTTAGCTAACTTTTGCTAAACGCCAAGTTATTGCCAAGCTGATTCAGCTAAAGCGTCAGCGACCAGTCAGTAGCTTTAACAACAATTTGGCTTAAAAATACAGTAAAGTATCAAAAACGTAATTAGAGTTTCTGTTTGTTTAACTTGATAATTTTAGAATATCTCCAGTAAAGTTAAGAAATAAAATAGTGAGAATTAATAGGAGTAAATTCAGTTTACAGTCATCCTAAGTTGGAGCACAGTTCAACATAAACCTGAAACGAGCCATACTTGTAGTTGTACCTCAAGATCATTTAAAAGCCATCTCAGTTCCATTAATCTAGTAAAACACAAAGTTGTTTTTTTTTTTTAAAGGAAAAGGGACATAATTTCTAGCTTCACCTGCCTTAGCTTTCATCCCTACTGTTCAGGGCGTAGTGATTTCCACTACAGTGACCATTCATAATTCTAGCTTAGTTTCCAACCCACTTCTCCTTTGGCCCCATCTGTGTTTGTTAAAATCTGAGTTAGAGACAATGTCAATAAGACCCTTCGTATGTAGCCCCAAATGCACGTGCTGTTTCAGTTCGATCCCCTTGATCATTGGTGATCTTGTGTGCCTTGCTTGCGTTCATTCATGTATACATGTGCAGCAGCTGCTCTTATGACAGCTGCGACCCCTGATAACTCTTAACTGTCTAAATGCTGCAGTCCAGCCTTGCATTGTACACCTTGCTATTATTACTTACTAACATGCTTAAGCACCAATTTGCCTTTTCTGGTTCCCTTGAGTTACTTTTTACATACTGATGAAACCCCAGTTGAACTCCTTTCGTTGATACTATATTAACTTGCAGAATAATTAAATGCACATTATCTGTGATATATTAGTTATGTTTTAAAGCTTTAGTTTATTTACTAGACAAAATAAGGCATTCACAATGGTAGATGGCTTGTTTGCGTACCTGTTACTTGCCGTGCATTTCTTCTACAGCCATCATCTCTCTGCATGCAGCCCCTCCTTGCGACTTACGCACACACACGCACGCAGTGCTTTCTGCAAAATGCTGACCTAGCCCCTGGTGACAGGCCACCTCCCTACTACCCAGCTTTGTGTCATACTGGGGGATAACTCAATGGCATGGCTACAAAGGACGACTGATACTCCTTTTCGTAGCCAAGCTTCAGGAGTCTTTAATGTCACACCATGGCAATCTGCACAGTTTATGGCAACAATGAATCACATCGTCACTACACAACTCTTTATTGCGCACAGATGCATTTGTTTAGGAAACTGAAACTCTTGTGCAACTATTCACAGAAGAGAACAGCAGGGTTGAGTCGATATGTCGTGTTGGTGTCCGTGTCAGGCTTTGCTGTTGTTGCTGTGTTTGGTTAAAATTAGAAGTAAGATGGAGTAAATCCGGCAAGCTGACACTTAGTACAATTAAACACTGTATTAATTGTGTTTATATTGTATATAAACACATATATGTGTATATATTGTGATATACACCAAACAAGCCTGAAGCTAACTCGTTAACTGCCAAAGTATGCAGATGTGTGCAATATGTTATCTCAGTGTTATCTCAGTGTTATCTCAGTGTTTAAGAGTGGAGTGTAACACAATTTTAAAAACTTGCACTCATTTGTAGCATGTTTTTGTGCAGGGTTAGCTGACACTTATAAAAACAAATGCTATACTAGATTGATGAATTAGGCCAACTTCAGGCAACATTATGCAGCAACATGCTGCAGATTTCACCAATACAACACTGCTAATAGTCTATCCACTTCTAATAGCTTAATGGCATAGCCTCATATTGATTTAGCAGACCAGGCAGATAGCCTAGCCTGTGGGAGATTTTTTTTTTTAAATATTTATTACACAGATTAAGGAATTAAATTGCTGTGGCCTTTAAAGCCTACGGGGCTGCTGTTCTAAACTGAGCTATAGCTTTTTTCAAAGCCATTTTGCATTTCATATTTCTTTTTTTTCCTCTTTTTTCTATGGGCAAAAAGACTTAAAGCACACCGGTTCATCTGATGATGGACTATTTTAGCTCCATTAATACCCTAAGCCCAGACAGTTTTTATCCCAGGCTGAGTGTGACCAACACACATTGTAGATATGTGTGTGCGTTTGGGCGTGAACAGTGTGCATGTAAGTGTGCAGATGCTTGTTTTGATACTGCAGACTGTTTTAGTTGTGAGGCATTCATCGCGTCAGGGTCCTGAGGGCATAAACATAACCCAGACTCAGTCTTTCAGTGTCATTGGACTGGCACTGGCCTTTGCTGCTGCCCTTCACTTCCTCACCTCATTTGCACCCATTTAGAGATATGTTTCTTCTCCTAGGTATTAAAACAGGTTTCTTTGTCAAGCCACTGTCATAAACTAGTAATATTTAGTGGTGGCAGCAAAGCACAACTCGTCTCATTCCTAGCTGTTTATGACTGTAAGGTGCAAGCTAACGTGTATATTTGTAAAAATGCTATATATAACTGTTTCTTATCAGACTTGCACAGTTCTTCACAGGAATAACTAAATTTGATTGCAATCAGAGCTTGACCAAGCAAACTGATATTATAAGCCAGTATTAACTATTTGCTCATCAGCTTTAGCATTTATAACAGATGAAAAATGAAAATAAAAAAGTAAACAATAAAAGGGAGAAACACCCTTCAACTATGTTTTGAGTGTTGCATAGTCAACCACAGTGCAGTCTGCAACACCAGCTGATCTGGGCAAAGTCGGGGAGAGCGTTAATGAGTAAATGCATACATGCATATAATGAATGTTAGGGAAATCACTTTAATATGTAATATGCCTAAAAAGAAAAAAAAAAAATGGAAATGTCGAATCATCTGTCCATCAAATTTAGGATCACGGAGGGGTTGGAGCCTATCCTATGGCCATAGGGAAAAAGGCGAGGTACAGCCAGCTTGGACAGATCGCTAGCTGGTCGCAGGGCAAACATATAGAGACAGATAACCATTTGCATCTATAGGCAATGGGGAGAACATACAAACTAAACAGAAAGGCTCCGGCCAGATGGGCTAATTTGAGTCTCAGACCTTCTTGCTATGAGGCAACAGTGTTAACCATGTAGCTGTGTCCACATAGTTGTGCTTTCACATGATTCATTTCTGCATTATTTAAGTCAGTGTTCAGAGTTATTATTTAAAAATGTCTAGTTCTTGTCTTTTCAATAACCCAGTTTTTATTAAAAATTCTCTCAGTTATAAAAGCCCTTTGATTCATTACTGACATATACATCCTGCTTTACTCTTAATGTGCATAATACAAAACAGGTGCTCATTCAGCTGAGAACTTAGAAACTTAATTGGAATATCTGTGACAGGATCACTGTCTGGTACTCATCTTTATTTTATCCATCATGTGGTTTTGCTCAGAAGCAGATAAAAATACCTATAAAAAAGATGCACATATGTTTGACTTGATATTGACTGAAGCCTAAAAGAGTAGCAGTGTAGGTAGACTGCATCTCTTCCTTGGAAAAAATGGCATTATAGTTGTGTAGTAAACTGTAATTTGGACCACCCATGTCATAAATCGTGGATATTCATGAGTATGTTTGTGTGGCCTGGATGGAAAGCACTTAATATTTTTAAAAATCTCTAAAGTATAATTATCAGTCACAGTGTGCTTATGAAAATCCTAATGCTTTTTGTGTTTTTCTGTCTGTCAGACCCGGGCTGGACCAGTATCAACCGAGGGGTCCTGATTTGTGATGAATGCTGTTCGGTCCACCGCAGTTTAGGCCGCCATATCTCTATAGTCAAGCACCTGAGGCACAGCGGATGGCCTCCCTCCCTACTGCAGGTAAGTCAGAGAAATGAAGAGCGAAGGAATGAAAAACAGGGAAGGGCTTGTGAAACAAACGCAGTACCCAGAATAGTGCCACAGAAAGAAGAGCTACTGCAGAAATCTTAGTCAGCTCAGAAGATGCAAATCCACAGTACTGCAGTTTGTGTTTATTTTTTATTTGATCATATAGTTTAACTTTGATCTGTGAGTCTGTCTGTACTCTTGTTGTATATCTGTGTTCTTCTCAGTATGGCCTAAATGCAGGTTGAGGTGCTTAGTGCTGCTTCAGCTTCATCCTGTAATTAAGGAGGCATGAGGAGTGTGGGAGTTTTTGGCTTTATTGGTTTTATAACCAGTTTTGATTCCAGTGTAGAGCACAAATGTGTATCAGGGTTGTTCTGCAGCTTTACTGAAGATAATTTAGATTTATTTCGTAACACATTATACGCGTTAGTTAATAGTTACAGAAATCACTGTGACTGTGAGCTATATGATACTGAATTATGAAAATAAGCTGTTAAACTAATTTCTTCCAAGATTTTCTGGCCAGTCCAGAAATTATGTTTCAGTGATGCACAGGAGTCATACCACTGATGTAATTTTAAAACATATAGAACTGCATTAGCATCAGTAGACCCCAGGAAGTCTTCTACTTTCTGAATGTGACTTTTGCATGTTGTACCAAGCATCATTTTCATGAAACATTTGCTAATGTTAGTAAATGTGATGGTCTTGTGACCAAAAGAAATACACACACACAATCAATGTATGGTGGTTTCAGCCCTGTGCACCTCTAAGGGTATTTGCACACGTGCGGTTTTTGATCCGTTTAAGTCAAACTTGGTTCGTTTTCCTTTTTAGTGTGGTTCATGTGTGCAGATGCGAACACTGTAATCACACTCAGGTGCAGACCAAAACGACTGCACCGAGAACCTTTGGAGGGGTTTATGGTGTGAATGTGATCCCACCTAGATCCAAACCAATTAGCAAGTTTGAGCTAAAAACATCCAGCAGCCACACAGGGTTAGGGTCTGATAGATCTGCAAATGCTAATGAAAGTAAATTCTGTTATAGTCCAGAACACAGCGCCTTCTTCCAGACACATCTGGCTAGTAAGCAGACTGAGCATTGTCACGTGGTTTGTAGTGACACATTTTGGTTCACTTGGAGTTCACTTGGATTTTTCTTTGCGTGAAAACAAACCAAAGCACGGGGGAACGGCTACAAGTTTACTGACTCATTAACTGATTTGAACCAGAGTACGAATCAGATGTGAAAACGCCCTAACGGCAGGTTGTCTGTGGATCTCAGTTGTTTTAAAGCTTGTTAAAGATCAGAGAGTACAGTAGTCCTTGCAGAGTTGATGTTGTGATACTCATCGTTTGAAAAAAAGCTTTCTGTGTTCAAAATAAATCAGGCCGTTCTTTCTATATCTAATCCTTCTTAGCAAATGTAAGTAAGGTGGGTGAGTTTTCCAGAGTAATAGTCACCAAATGACATACTTTGTGTATGTCGGCGTCTTTTTTTGATCTAAATTGTATTCAGGTGCTGGTGACTCAGAATACTGACACTCCACTGACAGGTGGCGTGAATAACACTGACTATCTCTTCATCATGTCACCTGTGAATGGATGGGTTAAAGTGGGTAACAAGGGAACATTTTGTCTAGGAAAAATGGGTAAATTTAAAGTTTAAAGTTGATTTAAAGTTGAGCTCATGTGGGGGTGTTCCTAGTCTGCAGTGGTCGGTATCTATCAAAGGTGGCCAAAGAAAGGAACAGCGATGAACGGGTGACAGAGTCATGGGCTGCGGAGGCTCACTGGAGAGTGAAGGTTGGACTATGTGGTCTGATTCTACAAACATTCTGCTATAGCTCACGTTGCTGAAAAGGTTATTGCTGTCAGAATACACAGAGCATCACAGTAGGGCCTCAGCTGTAGACCAGACAGTGCGCCCATGCTGACCCCAATCAGCTGCTGAAAGCACTAACAGTAGGCACATGAGGATCAGAACTGGACCACAGAGCAATGAAAGAAGGTGGCCTGGTCTGATGAATCATTTCTGCACCGCGCAGCTTGCAAGACTTCAATGTTTAAACTTAAAGGTTTCTTTACAATCTGTTGCTAACATCTTGGTACCAGATACCACAGCACACAGGGTCCAGTGGAGTCCGTGCCTCGATGGGTCAGGGCTGCTTTGACAGCAAAAGGGGGACCAACACAATATTAGGCAGGTGGTCATAATGAGCTGATCGCGTGGTTGTTGTACAGAAAAAGCTGCTAGATCAATAATCCATTTCTCAAATTGTAGAGGTACTTTATCTTCCTATGATTGGGCGCACAGTCGTAGCATCTTCAGTAGACAGCGTCTCCAAGCAGAGAATATTGCTTTTTTTTTTTTTCCCAGGATATTGAAACCTAATTTTCTGTGATTAACAGTCAGTTTAGCCAGAGGATAACACATTTTTCTTCCATGTGACAAACTCCAAACACTGCTTTACACTGACTTTAATAAAACATGCTCATGACAGCAAACCATCACTGAGTCACTTCTGTGTGTGTGTGTACGCGTTTGTGTTTCAGATGGTTCAGACCTTGGCCAGTAACGGGGCCAACTCCATATGGGAACACAGTCTCCTGGACCCGGCTCAGGTGCAGAGTGGCCGCAGGAAACCGAACCCCCAGGACAAAGTCCAGTAAGTATGCTCTGCACAGGCTCAAAATCCACATTAGGACACAGAGAAATTATTGTCCCTTTGTAAGCATAATTTCTCTCTCTCTCTCTTTTTTTTTTGACTGGTGAAGAACAATTGCAACTAGTATTTGTTTCTAAGTGCATTAGTGCGTTGTGGGCTGAAATATGGCTTTGGGAGAGTCATGAGATCGGGACCCGCAGGAAAAATATTTGCTCATTTCTTTTTCACCGGAAAATGGAGGTTTAGTGTGAACTGCCTCTTAAAAACCTCTGCAGTGTTCATCAGATTTATTTCTTTATCCATTTATGTAAAGCAAACTAGGCATAACCCATCAGTTCGGTTCACTGTAGAGATTATTTATTACTGCTGGGGGGCTGTTTGTCTATTATTACAGCACTTTCTGTGTCTGTACCTCACGGAGAAAGGTGCCTGATCTTTCTATTTGATGAGAGTGAGGGGGTGAGAGAGAGAAATGAAGTCAAAGCAAAATGACCTTACCTCTAGTGGGGCTTCAAATCCCTCGGTGGGGCGCCATATGCACTTGCAGTCATGATGCTGAAATGCATTTTCCTCTATAATAGGGTTTATTGCATGAATTGCAGTTCCACATATTTTGTCCTCGAGTGTTCTTGTTTACCTTTGAGGCCTGGGCTTTTGGTAACCATCTCAACTTCCCCTCCTGTGCAGTCCCACCAAGTCAGAGTTCATCAGAGCCAAATACCAGATGCTCGCATTCGTGCACAAGCTGCCCTGTCGTGATGACGACGGCGTCACCACTAAGGATCTCAGTAAGGTAAGAAAACGGCGTTATGCAGCTACTGACTTGAATAAGTGCGACACTTGTTTTTTCTTGATAAACAATTAGAGAATAATTGAACTCGACTTGTCATCTGTAGACCTGTAAGCATGCTTTCTTTTATCCGCTAAGTGAAGGATTCTGCACTTGTGTGGATGATAACAGAAAACCAGTATTGTCTTTAATCTGCGCTCTAATGTTACTCTGTACTGAGCTGATGGGTAGGATGTTATGTGTTCAGGTTAATTAGCCTATACTGACACAGCTATACTGTGGAACAGCAAGTCTAAGCACAAAGGTTGTTTCCTTTATGAATGTCAGTAGCAGACGTTGCACATAAACATGCACTCATGCACTCAGGCAAACACACACAGATGCTCTTTTACTTATTACCCCCCCAACCCAGCAGGGAGTGATCTGAATGACACAGCAGGATGCAACAATCATCTCTAGCGCTGTGCTGCCTCTCTGGGCTAATAAGGGAATTCAGTTTGTTTCTTTCTCTCTGTGATGTTTAATCTTTCCGCCCCGACTCCCCCCGTTTCTCTCTCTCCTCTCTACCTGTCTGTTTCTTCCTCTCTATTAGCAACTTCATTCAAGCGTGCGGACGGGGAGTTTAGAGACGTGTCTTCGGCTCCTGTCCCTCGGCGCTCAGGCCAACTTCTTCCACCCGGTCAGGACAAAAAAAAAATATATACCTCTGACTCACATTTTCGTCTTGTGCTGTTAACTTACTCTCTTTATGCCAGGCGTCTCTCTTTGTGACTGTGTTTCTGTGTGTGTCCCACAGGAGAAAGGCACTACCCCACTTCATGTGGCAGCCAAGGCAGGCCAGATCTTGCAGGCTGAGCTGCTCGTGGTGTATGGTGCTGACCCTGGATCGCCTGACATTAACGGACGCACACCAATGGACTATGCTAGGTACAGGAATTTGAAAGCACAATTCAGTAAATACAAAACCTGCATTTAGATCCTGTTCAGCTCTGGAATTGAGTCATCTAATGGTAAACACAACACAAGTAGAATCATTTCCTGTGCGCGTGTGTGTTCCAGGCAGGCGGGCCATATAGAGCTAGCAGAGCGTCTGGTAGAGTGTCAGTATGAGCTGACAGACAGGTTAGCCTTCTACCTGTGCGGTCGGCGTCCAGGTAACCTAATGCACCAGTTTATCCTGTTTTTGTTCTCCTCTTCACATGCCTTTAAGCACAGCAGTTAACCTCATAACGTACTGTGGTAGATTTTTGTTACTTGGTTGTTACATTTTTCTCTTCTCTCCCAGATCACAAGAATGGCCACTATATCATTCCTCAAATGGCAGACAGGTATGGACCAAATGATCATTTTATTGTCTTAAGTTGATTATGAACAGCTGCAAGTCGGTTGTCGTTTAATTGCCTGAAAAAAAATATCTACATGAGTAAACTTGCAGCTGCCAAACTTGCCTTACTTCTGTGACTGCTTAATTTCTCTGTCTGACATGTATGTATTGATATAATTTAGTGTTCTGACCACAGGGTGGCACCAAAGCCCCCACAAAGGAGTTAGGTAAAGGAAGTCTTTATTAAGCTGTCTGTTCACTGTGAATTTGGTGAGGTAGATACTTGAAGCGCGCTTGGTTAAGTAATGCTGAACTGCAGCGTGGATTTGAAAGACACACGAGTGCTCAGGCCGTGACACATCGAGTTCAGCATTTCTTAGCACGGCTTCTTTCACTTGTTTGATGGGCGCTGGGTTTTCTCAGCTACAGTTCAGAGATGTGTTGCACCTCCAGATCTGTTCGTTACTGAAATGGGTCTTACTTCTGTGCTGTCATCTTAACTCCACTTGCATCTGTTCTGTTTCTGGTGAATGGTTCCTCTTGTTAACAACAATTAAAGCTGTTTTCATGTGGCTTTTCTTCCCCTTCTTTCTGTCTGTTTCTCTTGTTTTTCTCACTTCTGTTCTCCATTTCGCTGTGCTTGGTGGAGTCAGAGCTCGTCCTAAGTGCCCGACACAGAGGTATCTTTACTTTCCTTGTTCTTTTTTCCCCCAGAATCTCTTTCTCCCCATCGGTCCCCTCTCTGTATACTTCCATCTCTCATGTATCCCACAATTCATCCAGCTTTTCTTGAGTGGCATTGAACAGTTGTTTATAGATTATAAAGCTGTAAAGATTTAAACAGATGTAAATAATCAAGAAGTCTGTAACTGAAAGACTGCCGTGTGTTTGAATCACATCAGGCTTTTTCGCATATTCAAATTCTACTTCCGCGTGTATCCTTAGTGACATCTTTGGCCATAGCGAGAGCATATTTAAAGAGTTTCAGATCAGTCTTTAAAGCTTCGAATCTCTGTAATCTCACTGTGTCACAAACTTGACACCCTTACAGCATAATATGTGAAATCCATCTCACATTTATATTGCTGTTGTTACCTGACCAGCAGTCACCAGTAGAACAAGTTGTCCCGCCTTCCCTCCTCATTCTAGAAAAAACTCCCTTTCCACCTCCACCCCTCTCAATTTTTCCTTCCATCTCATATCTCCCTCCCCTGTCCCCTTCCTCTCTGTGTCTTTATTCCACTGTATATTTACGATGCCTCTTTGATTGTCATCTTCTGTGTTTTTGTTCTAGTCTGGACCTCTCAGAACTGGCCAAGGCTGCCAAGAAGAAGCTCCAAGCGGTGAGCTGAATTTACATAGCTTATGGTTATAATGTCAAAAGCAACAGGCTGCTGTGTTTTGGGGGGATTTGGGTTTTTTTTAACAGGTTCTTGAAAGTAAAAACATTTAAAGAAAAATACAAGAAAAGAGTTTTTGTTGGGTGAAAAGAAAAGTTTGTGTCACAGACAGATTTTCTGCTCCTAGCTGTTTGTTCTCTCCATGTCAATCTGATAGATTGTTATTAAATTCATTTTATTTTATCTGCGCTCTCTGGTTTGTCACGCTGATGCTTATTGTTCAGCACGTGCTGTATCTATGTAGACATGTAGAATAAGACCCGCTAATGTCAATTTGTGTGCGCATGTGTGGCAGCTCAACAATCGGCTGTTTGAGGAGCTAGCAATGGACGTCTATGACGAGGTGGATCGCAGAGAAAATGATGCAGGTGAGCCTTATCGCTTCCTTTATACCCCTTAGACTGTCTGCCTGGGTCTGTGCATTTGGGCTTTTTCCCCTTTGTGGACCAAATTGATGTTGAAACAAACTAGAAAAACGTAAAAACTCTTGAGGAAAAGTTATGGGAGTGAAGCTGATATAAAGATAAGAAGCACCAAAGAAAGAGGAAGTGAATATGAAGGACAGGGTGACGAGAGAAGGGAAAAACTGCTAAAGAGGAAGGCCAAAATGTTTTGAGTGAAAGAGGAGGAGGAGGAGAATGGAGCGAGGAAGTGCCTCGCAAATTCTTGAGTCTCTCTCCTCCTCTTCGCTCTTTCTCTTTTTTCCTTCTCTTCTCTCCCTTTCCTTCAGTATGGGCAAAAGTCAGAGCGCGCTTTCTGACTGAAGCTCACAGGTAAGTAGCAGGGACAGACTCATAGACACACCACCAACAGCACACACAAAACTGCACTGTAAGAGATTCGCTGTACTTTGTTTATATCTCTGTGGATGTGTGGGTGGATGGGCTGCGTGTGGTTGGATGTGGGCAACCTTGTTGTTTGAACGCGCACTCACAGATTTATTTTTTGCTTTACGTTTTTGTCTCCAGTGTGGCTTACGACCCAGAACCACAGCACTCTGGTAACAGAACGCAGCGCAGTCCCTTTCCTACCAGTCAATCCTGAATACTCTGCAACGCGCAACCAGGTAAACACGCACATACTCGTATACGTTTGTAATGACTGATTTAAAGGAACAGATAGGGGGGAAGGAAAAAAGACAAAATGGAGATTTCTTATTTCTTAGATAGGCAGTTTATGTGTTTGTTGGAGGGGGGGGACACAAGCAGAGAAAGGAGTGTGAAATTAGCAGCGGCTGTTCCTCAGCTGTGAGAGTGTAATCTTTCTGCCCTCTCTCTTTATCTCTCTAGCTCTCCCTGTGAGGTAGAGAGCGAAATCTCAAGTCCACTTACAAAGTTTATAGTCATCTGCATGGCTCATTTTTGGTGTAAACACTCAAACCCAAGTGTACACACACACACACACACACACACACACACACACACACACACAACTCCCACATGGCCACGTTTGCTTTCACGTGATTGGGCAGTTCACTGCGGTCAGAGGCTGCTATTTATGGTCGAAAACAGAAGAAATCACGTCTTTACAGCTGAACTTCTGTGAATGGTTTTACACTTTGTAGTAGTCGACCTTCTTGTGCTCTTATGCAGATGCCTGGACGCTAACCTAATTGTAGAGTTTACGTTCCTTTGCACATGTTGTGTTGCTGTGTGTGTTGAGAGTATGACTGTGTTTTTCCACAGCACATGGTAACGGACCACAGCAGTCACACAGGCACTGAACCACTGACTATGGGCCCCATTGTATTTGTCTCATACTCAGCTCATGATTTTAAAAAAGAAAAACGCGGAACTGAATTTCAGGCTTTGATGCCAGTGTTTGTGTGCGCATGTGTTTGTGTAACTCCCGGCTTGTTCTTTTCTCAGGGCCGCCAGAAGCTCGCCCGTTTCAACGCCCGGGAGTTTGCTACCCTCATCATTGACATTTTGAGTGACGCCAAAAGGAGACAGCAGGGAAAAGGTCTTAGCCCTACTGGTGAGACTGGGAGGGAGGGCTAGACTTTAAACTTTGAAGGCAGTGCCAGCTAACCTGATTAATATGCACGATGCATAGATATCCATTTATTGATTTATACCAGTGTGCAAAAGTCTGCAAAGCATAAAACCTTAAAACTTTTAAAATCACCTGTGTCGCAGCAGCAGCACAGTTATAAGAGAATCATTCCTGTGTGACAGTTTATTCTTACATGAAACAGTCAAGTACGACACACAACTGGTTAAAATCAGTTAGCAGTGTTATTACTTTAAGCACTCCCAGGAGGAAGATCACATTTGAGAGAAGAGCGAGTGCTAAAATTACGTGAAAGAAAACTGTAACTGGGCAGATTTTTCTTCCCCTTGTTATCAGACCCGCTGGACCTGGGCATCGATGATGACCAGCACGACTACGACAGTGTAGCTTCTGACGAGGACACGGACAGCGAGCTCACCACCCAGAACAACAACAACACGCAACGTAGCAACCGTGCAAAGGTATACAGCGTGACACACTTTTTTTCTTTCTAAATAGCTACCCTTTACCCCACATTTGTGTGGCTTTCATACTTGCTAATCACCATTTTGATGTGTTTCCTTTCCCTCTATCCCTGCATTTCATTCAGTCATATTAGTAAGCAAAGCTTTTCCACAGTTTAGTGGCTTGAATGACTGCTTCTCCCAACATGCTTTGGGGGAAGTGGCCACACTCATGGCTGCCACATAGCTCCTGAGTGACATCATCAGCTATTCTGGGTCCATGTCAGAGTAGGCATTGTTCATGCACAGAGAGAGCGTGTGTAATGGGAGGGAAAAGAGAAGGAGACAGATTTAAGAAACAAAAGGAAGGAAAAATCATGTGGGAGGGGTAGAAGTGAAGCTAAACCAGTAACAAGCTTCTTTTCATGCTCAGGGTAAAACCCCGCCAAGCTGGAGGATCTACTCGCCTTTATATCCAAGGAAATATATGGATTTGTTGTTTTACGGTGCTCACAGCATCGAAGAATTGTGTGTTCTAGTATGAAGCAGGGGGTAATAGAAATAGAAATAGTGGTGAATGAATGACAAGCACAAGGCTATAAAGTGTAGTTTATGAAAGGTGTATTTATTGGTTTAATTCCAGGGAGGGCTGAATCTGAGCAGGCTGTGGGGTGGCAGGAAGTGAGGGGGAATATTGAGAGCAAGAACTAAAGGTCTAGTGTGTGTGTGTGTGTGTGTGTGTGATCCTACCTTCAAGTTAGGCCTCTTCTTGCCTCAAAGCCACGGCTGGTTGTTTTCCCACAGCTTAAAAAAATGTATAAATTACAACCACATTTAGAACCTTGTTAATGCATGAATTTCACTAAATACAGAATGTCTTGAAGGAGTTTAGTCACAACCCCTCCCCAAATCTTTCGACCTGTTTGACCTCCTGCCTTATATGTTCCTATCGATCCAGAGTATGGACTCCTCAGACTTGTCAGATGGTCCCATCACCCTGCAGGAGTATCTGGAGGTGAAGAAGGCTTTGGCCTCCTCAGAAGCTAAGGTGCAGCAGCTGATGAAGGTTAACAACAACCTGAGCGAGGAGCTCCGGCGGCTACAGAAGGAGGTAGGAGGAGTGCAGGTGGAACGAGAGGATTAGCAGTGACCATTCAGACTAATAAAGAGTTTGCTGCGTGGCTTCTTAGAAAGAGAATACAAAATGAATAGAAGTTGGAATAAAAGATGTGCTTGGTAAAGATGACTAGAAGACACGAGGCAGATTGGTAAAAGAGACGGGGCAGTTGATTCAGACAGAAAGAGGGTAGAATGATGGAGAGACAGTTGAATAAATTAATATCTTTGCAAGATGATTTTTCCCCGTCAGGGTGTTATTTACTTTCGATGGAGCTCATGTGTTGTTCATTGTTGCATCTTTTTTTTTCCCCCGTGAGTCATTGTCATTTCCCTAATATGTTCATTAGCGACTGGCTTAAGTGATTCATTTATGTGTTCATCTTCTCATGTCACTGAGGATTTAATGAAGATTTGAAACAAACATAGAAAAAAAAAAACACACTGCAAATAACAAATGTGTCAGATTAGGGCGCTAGGCAACAGTACTTCAGGGCAGATGAGCCTACAGTTTCCCCTCATTGACCCCCTGAACACAAACACTGTATTTTCAGGTATGTACTGTAGCCCTCCACCCCTTCCCTAAGACCCAGTCCCAGCTTATTGTAGTGTAATGCCATGTGTTGCATCCCCCCCCTCAATACTGACTTAATATGTGAAGCCCAATATGAGCCTGAATATGGATGCTTGTTTTTGACCGTTCAGTTGACCCCCCCTCCCCCAATTCCCTTCAACCTTCCCATGTTCCTCCCTCCATCCCTCCCTCCATTCTCCCTCCCTGCTGCCTTCCTCCTCTCCTTTAGATCACCCGGATGCAGACAGAGAACAGTGCGCTACGGAGGGGCCAGCAGGCTGGGGGAGCAGCTGGCCATGGGGTAGGGGGACCTGGTGGAGGTGGGGGAACAGG